AATTAAAATTTTCTAAATAAGTCCACAATTATTAAATTAAATGTATATTAAAAGCAAGAAAGAAATATATATCAAGAACATTAGTGTATTATTTAATGCGTTGAATGAGAAAAATATGAAATTAAATATGTAAAAATGAAGTTACGTTTATTGGATTTTATAATCGTATTTAATTCGCTATGAAATGTAGTTGAACAAAATTGTATATAGAACATATGAAACAAACGATAAACCATGTAGTTAGTAACCCAGTTAAGCTCAAAAATCTTCATTGCAACAGATAACAATGAAAAATTATTATTATACAATAAATGAAATATTTTATTAATCTCCAAATGAAATGAATTGAGATACAAAGTATTGTTTATTCACCAATGAAAAAAATAGTACGTTCAAAACAAGTTTGTTTTTTTGTTTTCACTGTAGTTTTTGTTTAATATGGATGCATTTTGTATGCATCCACTTGACTATCGACTCATCGATTTGCCACGTCCTCTCCGCATATTTTCGGAGCATCCCCAAAAAATAAAAAATTCATACATTTGAAACACACGAACAACAAGTACAAACAAACACATCCCAATTAAATTTCTTCTCGAAAACAGTTCGAAACGCATTGATGAAAAAAATTTTCAATGGGTTAGAGATTCATTAAACAAAGAGAAAAACAACAACTATGAACTAGATTGAAAGCACTTTACTGTTATTTTAATTGTAACTTATGAATTTTGCCTCAATCAATATTAAAAATCAGGTACATTGTGAAGATTTTCACAAATTACTTTATAAATCCTGAACGGCTGTACTTTTGATCCTGCGAATTGTCGAGGATTTACAAAAAAAAGAAAGGAAATGATCGAAGAAACAAGGAACGTAATGCGCCAGCATTTTTCCTTGTTTCCATCCCCCCACAAAAGTCTGTCGCCGCTGAATATGTATGAATGGACGAGCGAGGAGAGAATCCGTCCGTCCTCTCGTCTCACAGGATAATCTTACGACTTTAATAAGACGGAAGCAGACTGCGAAATATTACGCCGAATGATGAATGTTCGAGCTTCATCTAACAGGAGCGAAATTAAAGGCAATTCATTCATTGCATCCCTTCGTGTTCGACAGGAAAAGTGTAATAATTTAAACAAATAAAAGTTAATAACAAGAAATATGATGATTTATCAAGAGGATAGAAATGTGGGGTTGTTTTGGTATAAAGCGAGAGAGAGAGATTTAGTTTCTATACACAACATAGATACGAATTGGATGGAAATAGAGAGACATATAGACATGTATAATACGTTTCGTAAATATAGATAATAGACAACATATAATAGCTAGAAAGGTAGATAACATAAAAAAAAACAAACAGAAGATAAATAGATGGGGAGATAATATTACTAGCAAATGCTTCCATTGAACGCGCAGCGATTTGTACGCGAATAATAGGGACTTTTAATCCACTTAGAACGTTCGAACACAACAACAACAACAACATCAACAACATTATTAATATTATTACGCATTGAGTAATACCGAAATCCGATTCGATCCGCTAATTAATTATGATCGAATCGAAAATCATTTGCTTGCAAAAAAACCGCAGAATTTACAACACATCATCGAAGAGAAACCATTATTATTATTATTACTCACAACTGTACACTCTTTTATTACAACAATCACAATTTGTTTTACTGTAATTATTCTTTAGTTAATAAATGAAAAATGATATAAATTTATAATGTTCATAAAGTTTATACTGAATTTACAACTTTCTCGCGTATTGGGATTAATTAGGCTAAATGCGCGCACTGGAAAAATAATACTCTGCCATCCGTTTTCACAACCCCCGTCTCTCTCGCTCACGGCAGAGTCGGAGGGGTTGTTGCTGCTGCTGCTTTCGCACCCTCACAATAATGTCTTGTTTAAGCCCACCAATATGCATTTAAGTTTACGCAGATGATTTATACATGAAAACCCATTTATAAAAGTTACAATTTTTTCATCTTGCACCTATTTATTTTCATCATTCTCTACGATTATTCATCATATTATTGCACAGCCAGATATGAAATATTGGTTAAAGAAAAATTAAGTTTCTGAAATACAAATAGAAATTTCTGAAATCCCATTTATTTAACGTTGACCTGATTATTTTGAAGTAATAAATATTCAAAAATAAATGCAATTTTATGATTGAAATGAACAAAATATTAAATTTATATAATATATAGTCAATATAGTGAAATAGTAACATTGAATTTTTAACTTTCAGTCGAATTATTTAATTTTACTGAAGAAGTTAAAAAGAAATTGATTATTTGTAAATTATTTCATTTATATTATTGAAATTTCTGTTGTAGATATTTGATTAACTCTCACTTTCACTAAATATTTGTTTGTTTGATCATTTTTGTGTTTGAGTAAATAAATAAAGTTTTTTTTCGATGTTGTTGTATGAAAGCATAGAAACATGGATTTCGTATCGAAATTGATTTCGTTTGAAAATATATTGGCAAATAAAATGATAATAAAACAAAGAAAAGAAACAAAAAATAATAGGGGATGTAACATCGATTATATATATGCTAGGGGTGAAATATACGGGGCGAAGGATAAAAATAAAGGCAGAACAAAGCTAGAGAACAATCATTATGTAAGAAAACATAAATAAATAATATTTAATATTTATATATATATATGTAAATATATAGATAGAGTCACAGTCCTAAATACAACACCGAAACAATATAGTATTGCAAAAAAGACTTACGATGTACTGTTTAGTCTAGTGAACTTAGTGACGCTCCTAGAACTAAATTATTAATAAAGAAGCTTCAAATAATTGAATACAAAAAAAGATGGAATAGAATGAGATGAGTTTGTGTTTCGTTGTTAATGATTTGAAAGAGAGAGAAAAAACGAGTATTTTAAGATGATTGTTTAAATTTGATTAATTGGTGTATCATTCTGAAGGATTGAGATGTGATGTGATGTGTGATGATGATGATATGAATAGGGTTGATGGTAAAATTTTAGATTTTCTTAACTCACCTCCGCGGTTTTCACTGTCCGCTGGTTTCACTTGGATGGGGCGGTTCATCTGAAACGGATTACATAAGTTATTAATCCTCCGGATTTGCTTGAGTTGAGTGTGTGCGTGTGTGTGTGTGTTGTGCGTGGAAGAACAATGCAATAGTTTCACTGGTTGTTGTTTTTTTGTTGTTGTTGGTGGTGTAATCTACAGGTTGACGACGATGTTGGTGCACTTACAACAATCGGCAAGTCGAAAGGGATCGACCTGACCGCCTCGAGTACTTGCACCATTTATGTGGATGTGGTTTGGTTGACCGGTCGCGAAGAGAGAAGATAACTGGAGCGAAGGTAGGTAGGAAGGAAGGAAGAGAACGCAACGCGAGGAGCCTCCGACGAGGGCTGCGATCAAACTGAACGGAAAACTAAGAGCGAGGGGGCGATGATGTTCGAGAGAGGCGCGGCAGAGTTTCGTGTCGTACGCACCCCACGAGGGTTTCGAGCGATCTGACGCGTCAGCGTCGTCGTCGTCCTTCGTCGATCCTGCACAGCCGAAGAGCAGACGCAGCCGATGGCACACACATCCCTGCTACCTCACGCACAAGCTTACACGATCTCACGCTCACGCTCATCGATCGTCGTCAGCAGGGAATGAGGATGAGGAGAGACCCAGATGTGCGGCTAACTCAGATATGGGGGGATGTTTAGCAGCAGCAGCAGCAACAGCATCTCTCCGAGAGTGCGTTATTATCATTCGAGTGCTCTCTCTTTCACCCTCACAGACAAATTACATTACTGACCTGTTTGTTTCCCTCCGACGCGAACGCAAATATAATTCGATCCCGATATATCCGCGCAGACATCGTATGCAAATGTTTACCGCCCGAACTGCGGAGTAATTGGATTCCTCGGAATCAACAGAAAAAAATCTAGAATAAAAAAACTAGAGCGCAACGTAAACGCTTTTCCATCGCATCGGATATTGAAAGAAAGGACAGGAGGAATTAGACGCGCGCTCGTAAACCCTGTTTACAAGAAAAGACGACTCAAAGGATTAAAACTTATCCGCCGGCATCGGTAATACGCGCCGCCGTAAATATACATATAAAAGCAAAGTGGGTTTATGGAAGGACGTGTTGTTTACTCCGGAACAAAGTTCGTATTTTGCGTTCGTACTTCCATCTGCAGATGCATACATTGGGGGAAAATAGTTAAATTCAGATGATGAGAGATGAAGCACGGCGAGAAACCGAAAACGCGCCTTTCCTTCCGCTATTATTCTTCCCCTCGGCTGCACATGGTCCGATGAGGAACCGAAGGGGTTGCGGGTCATTCACCCTTTATATTACGAACTAGAAGAAAAAAAAAGGATACGTGTATGTGCGGACATTTGCATTGAAACGCGCAGAGATCGCAACCGCCGAAAAGTGATTTTAATGAGCGCGCAAAACACAAACCCAATGAAATATATTTGCAAAACGCACAATTACAATTCACTTAAAACAATTAAAATCGTAAATAAACACAATATTTGATTTGCATTCAAAAACATGATTAATAAATTAACTAATTAAACATATAACGTCTAATTTATTAACATCACAAAACATTAAATTCATCGACTAAATCTAATATTTATTTTATTCAAATACTCTTTGAACTTAAATATAATATAATTCCTTTGAAACCAAACAAATACCAACGAAATAATCATCATATTTTTTGCGTATTTTGATACAAATAATTCATTAATTATTCAGCAATTTTTGATTTATTTAACTAAACAAATTACTAATTTTTTAAATGTAAGTTGGAAGAAAATCAACCAAGAATACACATTAAGCTTTAAATTCTAAATTAGTAAGAAAATTTCATGAATTATCACAGTTACAATAAGAGCAAATAATTGGAAACGCATCGAATGATTAAACTTATCTCTTGTGTGTTTAAATTGGTGAAAGAACATTTCCTAATTACTTAAGGAAACTTGTAAGGAACGTGCGCGCGCGTTAAATCTAATTAAATACGTTTAGAATCGTGTTAAATCGAAAGAGGCGGCGCGCGGTATCGCATGAATCCAGTTTTGTGAGCGAAGGAGGAGCTTCCCCGTGCTTAATAAGCAGAAGTTATTTATCGAGCAGAAAGAATACGGGTCACTAACCCTTCAAAAATTTCATCCCCTTCTTTATATAAAATATATATAATTTAATATTCTTTTATTCCATTTAATAATAACAACCATGAAAAGCTACAACTACATCGAACATATGCAGAAATTGAATAAGCGTGAATATTTAATAAGCATTTTTCTATACTTCACATTGTAATAAACTAAAAAAATTTTAACACATTTTTCTTCTTCTAAAGAAAAAAACATAACTGGAATTGAAGAAAAAAAGTAAATTTATTTAATTAACGACAAACAGTAAAGTAAATTGATGCACACGACGCTGTTTGCATTGCGAGAAACTCCCTTCGTCTTTCGCAACTTTTCGCGTCCCCCCAAAACGTATCGATTAGCAAAGTCTCCCAAAAACTTTCTACGTACGCAAACAGACAACATTTTCTTTCCACCTACTCCTTCTTCTACTTCAGGTTGAAGTGCCAATACAGAAACTAAATATAGTCGATGCTGGCCCACACCACATGTCGCTCACCAACGTCGCTCTGGTAAACATATCGCGGTCTGTTTACACTTCAATTTAGATACAAGGTCGATGACTCGAAAGAAATCCATCGAATCCAAAATAAATAAAAATCAAAATTCAATTACAATAATAATAATAATACGAGCGAGCATTGAAACGCAATAATTAATCACGACGTCGACATTATTAACATGATGCTAATGAATAAATAATCGCTCGTAATATTACATTATTATTATTATTACGGCGAGTTTAAACGCGCGATCAAAACAAATAAAGCGCACTGATTAAATACGGATTTCAGTCGATGCGAACTTTTACGAAGTTTTGTTTAATTTCGAATTTAAACTGTAATTATAATTGTTAATGCAATATATAAATATATATTATATTGGTCGCATTGATCGATGCATGCGTTCGTTCATTAATATTGCAACGACATCTGTTTCGGGCAGGAAAATCCGTGAATAAATTATTATATAAAGTACGCACATTTCCAGTGCTTTACACTAATTATTAGGCATCAATTGCATATTCATGTGAAACGTTCAAGAAACACGAGCATAACAAAAAACAGTAATTTACCAAGTGATTAACATCGCGTGTTACATAATTATATTTGTTGAGTAACACCCCGAAATTACGTTATCTTGATTCATACTTACATTCTACATATTAATAAACGATAATTGAATAATCAATAATCAAATACAGTTTTTTTTTGTATAATGTAAAAATCCAATTATCTGTAATAGAAATTGAATCATAATTTAGTTAGAAAAAAAGATAATTTATAACGTTTTATCAATATTACTGTAAAATTGTTTATTTTCTATTTTAGTCTTTACTTAAGTTCAAATTACTGAAACTAAAGAAATTTCCATTTGTAACTTCTTGTAATCATTTAAATATTAAACTTTATTAAATATAAACAAAAAATTAGATGTGAAATCTTTTCGAAATAAGTATACGTTTCTAGTTCAATATGCATATGGAAATAGAGGCATTATTTGGGGTTGAAATGAGGGTGAAACGAAAAGCAGCGTAAGTGTGCATTGACACCCCATAAGAAACGCTCGGCGAAAGCCAACTACACGCTTTATGTAAACACAGATGCGTGCGAGTAAGAGATTTCCGACCTTTGTTTATCCAATACGAAAACCTCCTTAATGCTTCTTCACTCTCAGCATCTACACCCTAAGTAAATGTTATATATAATATATAAATCACATACAAATTTGAAATCTTGAAAAAATTTTCAATTTAAATAATATAAAATTATGTAATTATTTATGAATTTTTTAGAACAAATATTGTTTATTATTATGATTACATTTTTTTTTACAAAACTTAAATTTAAATAAAAAAAAACAAGACACACAAATTTCGGATTTATGTTGATTTTATGCTGCAGATTCACCAAAAAAATGAGGATTTACGTGATCGAATGGCTTTTGCGAATGGAATAGATCAGAATATACACATATATTTATTTATTTTGGGAGCAGAGATATAAATTAAAAATGAAATGTTGTGATTGGGTTTTTCGTGCAGATTTTTTTTCCTCCTTCGCGTTTAATGCTTCTTCACTCTCAGCATCTACACGCAAAGTAAATGTTATATATAATATATAAATCACATACAAATTTGAAATCTTGAAAAAAAAATTATCAATTTAAATAATATAAAATTATGTAATTATTTATGAATTTTTTAGAACAAATATTGTTTATTATTGTGATTACATTTTTTTTACAAAACGTAAATTTAAATAAAACAAAAACAAGACACGCAAATTTCGGATTTATGTTGATTTTATGCTGCAGATTCACCAAAAAAAATCAGGATTTACGCGATCGAATGGCTTTTGCGAATGGAATAGATCAGAATATACACATATATTTATTTATTTTTGTTTGGGAGCAGAGATATAAATTAAAAATGAAATGTTGTGATTGGGTTTTTCGTGCAGATTTTTTTTTTCCCCTTCGCGTTTTATGCTTCTTCACTCTCAGCATCTACACGCAAAGTAAATGTTATATATAATATATAAATCACATACAAATTTGAAATCTTGAAGAAAAAATTGTCAATTTAAATAATATAAAATTATGTAATTATTTATGAATTTTTTTTAGAACAAATATTGTTTATTATTGTGATTACGTTTTTTTTTTTACAAAACGTAAATTTAAATAAAAAAAAAACAAGACACGCAAATTTCGGATTTATGTTGATTTTATGCTGCAGATTCACTAAAAAAATCAGGATTTACGCGATCGAATGGCTTTTGCGAATAGAATAGATCAGAATATACACATATATTTATTTATTCTTTTTTGGGAGCAGAGATATAAATTAAAAATGAAATGTTGTGATTGGGTTTTTCGTGCAGATTTTTTTTTCCTCCTTCGCGTTTAATGCTTCTTCACTCTCAGCATCTACACGCAAAGTAAATATTATATATAATATATAAATCACATACAAATTTGAAATCTTGAAGAAAAAATTGTCAATTTAAATAATATAAAATTATGTAATTATTTATGAATTTTTTTAGAACAAATATTGTTTATTATTATGATTACGTTTTTTTTTTTACAAAACGTAAATTTAAATAAAAAATAAAACAAGACACACAAATTTCGGATTTATGTTGATTTTATGCTGCAGATTCACCAAAAAAATCAGGATTTACGTGATCGAACGGCTTTTGCGAATGGAATAGATCAGAATATACACATATATTTATTTATATTTTTTGGGAGCAGAGATATAAATTAAAAATGAAATGTTGTGATTGGGTTTTTCGTGCAGATTTTTTTTCGTCCTTCGCGTTTTTCTGCTTGGCGGAAGAGGAGGGTTGAAGAAGCAAG